GGTTCCTTGAGCTTCGCTGTTCCCATAATGGAGAACCCCACCTGTCCTGGCTGGTTGCCACTAGGGAGTTTGGATCTGCCCCACCCCACTATCTCCCCGCTCACATGCATCTGTGAGATTTTGGTTCATCACCCCTACTGGATGATGAGCAGGTCACAGTTAGGGTGGTGGCCAGTTTATTGTGGTGCCCATCCAGCAAGTGCCCAAAAATTGTTGACTGAGTCCAGGCTCACATAGACCGCTCAACAGGTGTGTGTCCAGAATAACTTTTAGAGGCCTCCAGCTCCTGGTCCCCATGTCTGCCTTAGGAAATCGTTTTACTGAACTTTTTTTAAAAAACTCATATTTATTTAGACCTTTACAGTTTTTTTGTTTGTTTATTTTAAGAGATGACTGGTAAGGGGATCTTAACCCTTGACTTGGTGTTGTCAGCACCACGCTCTCCCAAGTGAGCTAACCGGCCATCCCTATATTGGGATCTGAACCCTTGGCCTTGGTGTTATCAGCACCACACCCTTCCAAGTGAGCCACGGGCCGGCCCAAGCCCTTTACAGTTTTCACATTCTCCCATTTTATTATCATGCCTATTTTACCAACAAGGTCAAGCACTTCCTAACGTTCATACAGCTGAGCGGAAGTAGTGCTGGAATCAAACCCAGGTCCTGAGCTAGGACTGAGTCCCCCTGGCATCCTGTTGCCTGGCTTTTGGCCAGTCTTGTGGCTGCTCCACACTTTACTTTCCTCATCTGTAAAATGGGTTTATCGTGGCATCTACCTGGTTGGGTTCTTTAGAGATTAGATGTGAGAGTGTGTGTAAAATGTTGAGCACGGCTCCTGACAGGTGGTCAGCAGATGGCACTTGCAGGGCTGTTGTTCCTGAGCTGCCTCCTCAATGTCCTGGGATCTCCTCTTCCCCCTCTGCTCCAGTTTCCAGATTCCCTTCCTCTGGAGCACCCCAGTTCCTTCTCTAGGTTCCCTGCACAATCCAGGCCTCCCTGAGATGTGTGTCTGGGGGACCCTACTTAGGGCTTAGGTTTCTGTGAGTGGTGCATGTCATCTGGGATTGGGCTCTTCTGGTGGGACATCCACAGCTTTGACACCAGGTGGGGAAAGCCAGGTGCCCCTCACATGTAAGACTGGAAGGATGCCCATGAGTTGTCATGCCCAGGCCCAGCATGTCTTTTTTGTTCTGGAGAGAAGAAGGGGGTGATGGGGTCTTTCCCATAACTAACGCTTATCGTGGCCAGCCATTTCCAGGCTCACTCATGGAGTCTTGCTGCAACTGAGAAAAGAAAGGCAAGGATTTGGGAATAAGAGAATGTGAGTTTCAGGGTCTCCTCTCTGATTCTCAGCTCCTGGGCAAATTCTTAACTTCTCTGAGTCTCAGTCCTCTCATCAGAAGAATGGGAATAATGTGTTTACCTCATTAGCATTGTGAGAAAAAGCCAAGATGATACTTGTGAAGCAGCCTGGTACACTGTCACGCCTGCACACAAGCTTCTTATAATTCCCAGAGGGCAGGTTCATGGTAGCTGGCTGACTTTTTTTTATTGTGATGTGGGCAAGTGGGACATTAGTCTACTTGCAAGTAGGAAGGCAGTTGTTTTTGTGCATTTGTACGTGCACAATATGTTTCTAAGATGGTTGGGAGTCTGAAAGAGCTCTAAAATGGCAGATTCCAGGCTCTGAAATGGTCCCTTGGAAGCCTCAGTATTGGGTCTTGGAAAATTTTTAAAAATGTACTTGACGTGTGATTAAAAAGCAAAATCTTGCCAGTGCTATGTAGAATTTTGGTTTCATTTTAATACATGGAATACATAGCCCCACACAATTTTATAGACTGCATTTAAATAGTGTTTGATTGGCAGGTATGTTGACCCACATTTTACATGTGGGGAAAACTGAGGCATAGATTTACCCTAGGAGGCTGAAAATAAGACCTAGAATCCTCATTTCCAGTTCATCCATTTCAGTAAGCCTCACTGCTTTGCTGGGGTGCTGCGATGTAGGTGTGGGGCCTGTAGATGAGCCCAGGATGGGATCTGCTGGAGGAGAAGGCACATGTGCAAATCGCTGGTGTGCCCAGGGCCTCCATGGGGTAGCTGTGGGAGATGGGCGTGCTGCTCCACTGGGCAGAGGAGGGGAAACTGGTGCAACTCTTAT